TTATTTAATGCTTATTATATGTCCAGCATTTTGCAAAGCATTTTATGTAATACCATTTCAGCTCATACTTTCAGTTCATACAAGATCATATAATGTGTAATTTTTACACTGTAATTTTTATTCCCATTTTTCAGTTATGAGAGATTTTATATAACCAGCTTGAGAGTTTCAAGCCTGAATGAATTAACTGATCAATGATGATTATTTGAACTTCTTTGCATCACGTTCCTTTGAGAATGCTACAAGCTACAATCAAGGTAGGTATGGTATTACCCTGAATAAACTAAGTAAATTCATAGAACACAAGCATCTGAAGGGGGCTCTCCACGACTTGGCAAAAGAAGATGAAAACAAGATCACCCTATAATCACCCTATAATCACCCTATAATCTTCAGCAAGGGGAAAGAGATATACTGCACAATCTCAGAAACAACCAAGACATGCGCCTCATGGCTAAAAGGAGACCCAACTAACTGCTTGTTTTCTCTCTATTCCCTTAGCTTCCTAGATTAAAAAATTGTTGATATAATCGATGTTCAAATTGTCCCTCTTCTCTGACAGCACCTATTCTAGAACAGATTTTCGTGAACTCCCTTATAATCACCTTAGCCAAGCCTGAATCCTGTAATAAGCCTCTCCAACTGCCTCTTCATGAGGCACCCACTGTTTCCCCAAGGTATGGATCTCTCTTGTTGCTGTATTAAGCCTATTCTTGACTACAGTTGCCTTTTGGTGGTATCTGGCTTATGAAAATCAACAGTAAATACTTACAATAAATTATTGGTAACAGTATGTATAAAGCTGTATATATATTGTGACTTTTCTATGGTTTGGATGTTGACTCTCATCCAAAGGTCCATGTAAAAGGCGTGGTCCCTCGGGTGAGGGAGGTGTTAGGAAGACCTGTGGGTCTTTAGGAGGTGGGTCCTATGGGAGGTATTTAGGCCACTGAAAGTAGGCCTTGTGGGAATGTGGGAATCCCACTGGTCCTAGCTTTGTGCTGCTTGACTTGTGACCTAAATAGACTGTTTCGCCATATGCTCCCACCTTGATGATCCACTATCACCAGAGGCCCAAACGAATAGAACTATCCAGTCCTGGTCTTGAATCAACCTTTCTACCCTGTTTCTGGGAATGTAAACTAGTACAACCACTATGGAAGTCATTGTGGAAATTCCTACAAAACCTAAAACTAGCGATTCATTTTGACCCTTCTATTATTCCCTTTACATATTTTCCCCAAACAGTTAAAGGCATGACAGTGCAGTGACACATGCATATCCATGTTTATAGCAGCAAAATTTTTAAGAGCTGAGCTGGGGATTTAGCTCGGTGGTTCCGCCATCTGCCTCGCAAGCGCAAGGTCGTAAGTTTGATCCCTGGTACCATCCCCCTCAAAAAAATCCAAAGAGCTAAAACCTGGAAGCAGTCTAAACAATGTATAATGCCACATTTTCTTTATCGATTTATCTGGTGTTTTTGGTACCAGGGATGGAACTTAGGACCTTTCACTTCCAAGGCAGGTGGGCGGAACCACTGAGGTAAATCCCTGGTCCTATCTGTCCTACCTGTTCTCATTTTTAAAAGTAGATATATATGTATAGAAGAGTTTCTTGATACAAAAAAGGCAACCAATACACACTATAATGTAAAGAAACACACTGTAAAGAGTAGTTATCTTTAAATATTGGTAATACTGTAGTTCCCTTTTTCTGTATTTCATGTTTTCATTAAAAGTGTACACACAATTTTATTAGATGAAGAAGGGGAGAAAGAGGAGAAAGAAGAAAACCTTTCTCCCAGAAGAACGTGTATGAGGAAGGAATCTGATAGCTTTTAATCATCTAAAGCTTTCCAACTTTAGCACAGTGGAGAGCTTTAGGATGCTCACCATCCGGGCACTTTATCCCTGGAGTGAGCAGCAGGAAGGTTAAGAGCAACCTTGAGAAGTGAGGTCTTTGGAACAACTAGGGCTTGACAGATGTACAGATTTAAAGGGAGGGAGAAAGACTCACTGGGCTGAACGAGAGGCAGGAGGAGCCCCAAATCTCCCAGCTGTGTGTGCTGAGGAGATGGAGAGTGAGTGGTGTGAGGCTTTGCAGAACCTGACAGAACTGAACTGGGGAGGCAAGGTGGGCACAGGACTTTCACTAAAGTAACACACCCACCTTTCTGACATCAATCGGCCACTTACGGATTCCTTCAATTTGTATGAAAGTGCTTTTCAGAAAGCCAGTATAACTCTTCTTTCAACAATTCCACTAGCAATTTTCATTTCTGACCCCACAAAATCCTTTCTACCTCCTAGGATCTCACTCATTCTCTCATCTTTGCTTATACTGCCAGCCATCTAAAAACCTACCACCAGCAAACTCAGAAACATAGAAAACAAAATTAAGTTGAAAGTCCTTACTGGGCATCTGTATGACTCAAAATTTTAAAATTCTTTCAAGAAAAAAGTGAAAGTGGAAACATAACATGACAAAACCTATGGGCTACAGTGAAAGTAGTATTACAAGGGAAGTTAACAGAAATCAATGCCTACTATCAAAGAAAGTAGAAAGATCTCAAATGAGTAACCTGACACTGCATCTCAAGGAACTAGAAAAACGAGTACTAAACCCAAAACTTTAAGAAGGAAAAAAAAAAAAAAAAGATCAGAGCAGACATACATGAAATAGAGATTTAAAAATACAATATAAAACATTGATAAAAGAGCTGGTTCATCAGGAAGAGAAAATTGACATATCTTTAGCTGGAACAGTGAAGAAAAAGACTACTAAAATAAATCAGATGATTGAAAATTGCTAGTGGAATAGGTCAGCTTTTTCAAAAAATGATGAGCACATAAAGGCTACTGGAAAATTTTGGTATCCACATGGAGGATCATGAATGTGAACCATCTTCTCTCACTAAATACAAAAAAACAACTAAAAATGCATGGAAGACTTAGATGTAAGACCTGTAACTATGAAACTACTAGAAGAAAAAATAGATGTGCTGCCTTCCACTGGAACAGGCAAGGAGTTTTTGGACAATTAAGATCTGACAAGGTGTTATCATTCAGAATATGTAAGGAACTCTGAAAACTCAATAGCAAAAATTTTAAAATGGATGTTAGATCTAAACAGATATTTCTCAAGAGGAGACATAGAAGTGGGCAACAGGTATATGAAAAAGCTGCACCTCATTAAGTCACTCGGGAAATGCAAATCACAGGGTGAGATATAACCTTACCCTAGTAAGAATGGTTATTATGAAAGAGATAAAAGAGTGCAAGTGCTGGCAAAGATGTGAGGAAAAGGAAATCCTTGCACATTGCTGGTGGGAATGTAAATTAGGACGGCCATTATGAAAATGGTAAGTACTCCAAAAATTAAAAAATAGAACTACGGCATCCTCCAGCCACCCAGTTACTAGGCATACACCAAAGGAAAGAAAGCCAGTATGTCAAAGAGGTATCTACACTCCTGTGCTCGCTGCAGCCAAGAGGCAGAACAATGTTTGCTTATCATTTGATAGGTAGATAATGAAAATGTGGTACGAATACACAATGGAATACTATTCCGTCATAACTACAGTTCTGTAATAGAACATGACATCTCTAGAAAGAGCACATTCTTAACGCTAAGGGACTGCTTTTCTGTTTTTTGGTTTGCATTTCCTTTATCACTGACCTTCATTGCCTTGGAGATTTTTGGTTCTTGATACTGAACTACTCTTTTAATAAGTTTAGATCAAAATAGGAAATTATGATACTATTATTCCAAGTGTGTTATGCCTATTTAATATCAGACAGTATTTGTCTCTATTAATAAAAATATTCACTGCCAATTGAAAACCAGTGGTTTGTACAGAAACCACCTACTGTCCTTTGCTTTCATTTATAAAACATTTAAGGGAATTTTCCAGATAAAATGGAATTTTTCTTTTGAAGTATGTTTTGTGTTTGGGGACAAGTAAGATATGAGCCAGTTCTCATCAGTAAAAGAAGCGCTAATTCTTTAATGCGTCTTTCATCCGTGAAGTTCTTTTACTTTGTATTTATAAGCAAAAGCCCAAATTATTCATTTTTAATATAAATATATCCTTTTGAATGGTTAAAGGTAGGAGCACTTTTCCTTTGAAAATTGCCAAACAAGTGAAAGGTGAGTTTGCACCGTGGAAAATCCCAGATTTTTTTTTTTTAAATTGGTAACTTACAATGTTGAAAGACAATGAATTATTTAACTCCTTCAATTTTTGATGTATACCTTAAAACTACATATCAAAGGGTACCGTGTGATGTTTCAGTATATGTGTACATTATATGATATTTAAATCAGGCTAAACAGGTCTGTCGCATTTACCACTTCTTTATGGTGAAAATATTCAAAATCCTTCCCCTTAAGTTAGCAATTAGCAACCCTTCCCTTTAGCTAAGGGAGAAAGTTCCCCAGGGAAAACAATGCCTCATAAAAGGCACAGCTGCGTCCATAAACGCCCCGCTAAAAGCCTACTTAACTATAACTGCCTTGAGAGAAGTGGTGTTTGGGGGAAAAAAACAAGAGATGCAGGTTGCATCCCGACATGAATCTGCACAAGGTGGTGAAAAGGGATCAGCTACAAGACACGAGTCAGGCAAAACACAGGTGCATGCGAACGGCACACCCCAGGGACAGCAGGAAGGAGAGGAAGTAAGGGAATCAGGAGGTGAGCGACCCCAAGGGTTAAGGGTAAGCCTAGCGGCCACACCTGGCTGCAAGCTGCCAGCTCATTAGAATCAGGAGTCTTCCCTTAGGAGAGATGATCAGATACAAGTGTTCCGCGCGCCTTACAGACGCACAGAAGAGGAAACTTTTCAAAGTTACACAAAAACTACCATGCAGTTATACTTTACCCAAAACAGTCAACCAAAGCCGCCAGAAAATGACTGAGTCGCTCGAAAGCTACGTGGGCGCGGGCGCTAGGCGGAGGGGCTCACCTTCGGGAAAACAAATGTTCATTAAAAGCTACTTACATCCTCGGCGTAAGGAAACCGAAGAATTTCCGTCACGCCGGACAGCGGAAGGATGCAACTGTGCAGTCCGTCGGCGTGCGAGTCCAGGGAGAGGTCTGCAGCCCGCATCTGCTCTCTGCGCTGCGCGCTCAGCTCCAAGCGCCAACAGCACCGCGGCCCAGGGAAGACGCTGACCCGACCGCGCTTCGGTGGCTGACGCGGGGGCAGACGCGGCGGGGTCCGCACGTTACAGGGGAAAAAACTAAGACTTTTCCAGTTTTCAAAGCAGTGAAGGAAAGAGCGTGGAAGAGGAGGAGGAGCAGGAGGAAGGAAGAGAAAGCAAAAAAAAGGAAAAGAGAAAAGAACAGCTGAGACGACGGTGCGCTCTCCGCGGGGCCCGGGAGGCGCA